TTGTTTATTAATTACAAAGTTAAAAATTTTTAAATATTCATAACAAATAATAAATTTCTTCCATGGGGATCGCAGTTGGAAGCGTCCCCATTATACTTGCCGCATTGCCACGTTGTATAGCAATACTGATTTTTTGTTTTAAATATATTTAAAACTAGTAGCTCGAGGTTCTCCAGTAATACTGGCAATACGTTTTCCTAAACACTCCACAAAATTACGAGCCTCTCTGCACCAAGGTCCCAAAGTCTCTACTGCGAAAGGTATAAAAATATGGTTCTGTTCTATAATTGAACAATATTTCCTTATTTTTATACCTGCCGCAGATTCAGCTACTGCACCACCCGTTTTACTTGATAAATTAACATGGGATGGTGCTAGAGTGTCAGTGCATGTGGCATCCCAAACTAGCATTTGTCCTTTGGTCCAAGGCACAAGGGTCATTCCATCAGGACGTTTATATTTATAATATAGTTATATTATACAGCGCCTTTTTTTCCACTAGGCCCATCAGGCCCTGGCCTAGGGCCCGCACGCTGAAAGGGCCCGGAATCGACACAGTGATTACAATAAAATAAGAACCAAATTTCAAATATTGAGTAGCATTGGTCAGGGCTATTTAATTTCCGCGTAAATTGCGATCAAAAATTAACGATTTGAGGTGTTTCATGGACACACAGAAATTATACGATCCTTTAAAAAGAATGTGGGGATATTTACAAAATGGATTGTAAGGATATATAAATCTAGATATAAATAAAATTTAAGTAGAGCAGGCATGGTGTAAAATTACACCGTGGTCATAACATAACACACCGGATATGGGTATCGCTGAATAAATTGTATCATTGTTTGGGTTTGTTTGAACTGCAAAGGCGACGTGTCGTATTTCATTTACTAATTACCTACATTATAAATATACGTACCATCATTTTTAGGATAGACGAATTTTACTGCACTCATTACTACCATTGATTTATGGTATTTAAACAATGCTACTAATCTTATGATTCATAATGATTAGTATCGCATTATGAGAATATTTGTTTGATTTAAATTTTATATATTTTTTACTTATGCTTATTATAATTTTTTGTATACCTAAATCTGACATATACGCTAATGTCTGAAGTAGTGTTTGATTTTACCTAAAATTCACATGCACTGTTTGGGCATGAGGTGGGGCCCCCAAATATTGAGGGGCCTAGGGCCCGCCTATTTCAAAATTAGGCGCTGTGATATTATATATAATAATATATTGGTCAACTTTTAATGTGCTGGTTTTATCAAGGTCCTTGGGTTTTATAGAAATATTTTATTATTAACGACCCTCGCGATCGTTTATAATTTTGTATTGCTGTCCGTCTGTCTGTCCCTGTGCACGATAACTTTGTGTAGAAACGTCCGATCGCTTTGAAAATAGACACACATGTTCTTCAGGATATAAGAAAGGTCCCTATTGTTTTTCGGCTATGTAGACTAACGGGCCAAAAAGTTACAACCCAAAAACTGCCCAAACCTACAAAAAAGGGTTCTGTTATAATTCTTGTTACAAAGAACATATGAATATCCGGTTTTCTGTGTTAGTAGATGAATTTTTAAAAAATTGCGCATGTGCAACCCAACTTTTGTATTGGAGCAATCCCAATTTTTTTATTTGTTATATTTAAATGAAATTTTGTATGTATATGCACCTCCCACCTCGTATAAAAGTAAAAGTAATGCTAATTCAAAAATTTGTTTTACAAGCTATGCTGATCTGGTGGAACAGAATCAATCCCTGCGTTGTAAAAAAGATGCATGTGCGAAGATCTCAAGAATCGTTCGGTATTCAGTTGTATCGGATTTTTTGGTCTAATATTGAGGCTAGAGTGGGGCTCTGATATGTACCACAATAGCGATAATCGGATCTCATAAAACACTTATGTTTTTTACCTCTTAATAATGCCACAGATAAAATGTCAATCCCCTAAGAACTTGATTAAGGGTGGTTAATGGGGGTGGGGCTGGAAACAAGTTTTTAATTAAAAAAGAGGGACATTTTTAAAATTGCAACCAGTACTTGCACGACGCAGATAAAATGTGTCGCTTTGGACATAGATTTTTTAATCTATGTCTTGGGCGAGCTACACCCCCGAACGGTACCAAATTTGCGTTTTTAGTTACATTTTCTTCTTATGAACACAACAAGTAAGACTATCTGGGATTTTGAATGTATTCTTTCTAATTTTGTATTTCCAAAGATGCACCCTTAAACGGGCGTGTGAAAAGTCTGGTCCCCACAAAATGTTATATTTGGAACTGCAATTGCGGACAGTTTCTTCGTGTGACTTTAAAAAAAAATTATGCGCACTTCATCGTTGAAATAACCTAAACATATTGCACCAAATGTTCGTCTTACAAAAAAGTGGTGCGCATAGCGAATATGGCAGAGGGCAGTTCTAGCGCATTTTCCAATACATGTTGGAAGGCGCTATTATTGCCACTTTCTCCGTCCGTCCACTCGAAGCTGCATCTACTCTTACAGTTTTCAAGATATTTAGTTCGTTCTGTTTGCATTCGGTAGCTTAGGGTATAATAACAACCAAGAACCAAGAAAATTTACACCAATTGCTTGCTCCTGCGCCTGACCAGCGGCTGGTAAAGTTAAAACCAGTTATGTAGGTATTATTTCCATGTCTCTGGTATTATTACATATTCATCATCCTTTATATCTCTTTTCTTGTTAGAAACAATACCTACTAACCTGGTACCTACATTTAAAACATAATATGCGTATGGTCTGCGCGTACAGAAGACAACTGTTGATTTATTAAGATATTACCAATGGACACACAACTAGTAGAATCGTTACCAAGAATATGTTTTCCGCTTGGCGACATATCGCATATATGGTAAATATCAGATGCGCGCATACGCATACTGCGCAATGTGCCAACTTTATAGTCATTTCTTTGAAATTAGTAAAGAAAAACAAGGCACATAGTAAAAATTAAATGTGTCATGCGGAAGCTGAGCGATATCATCTTTCTTAATCGGCTATTTTTTTGAAATTTTAACCATATGTGCTTCTAGTAAAGGCAAACTTATCGCAGCATTTACCTATACTACCGGCATATCTGCACATGCGTGATTCTACCCAAAAGCTTTCTGCTCTTTCTTTTATGTATGTCTAAACATATATGTACCAAATTTGGTTCCAATCGGTTCAGTCGTTTACCTGAAAATGATAATACCGACAGATAGACAGATAGAGATAATCCAGATTTTGTTTGATTTGGCTTCGTGGTGCTTCAAAACGTGTATTTTTTATTATTTATGCTTCTCAGGTATAAATATTGAGAAAGGTACCTACACCATATGATGACCAATATATATTATAAGTCTTAAATCAAATGTCATTTATAGCGCAACGGATGTTGTATTGAGTACCGCTGACTCCGTACGGCTGGTTTTGAGAAACTTTCACTCGTAGGAAACGGATTTTTACATTGCATTTCAGGTGCATATTATTAAATACAACTATTGGTCGCGTTATAAATGACGTTTCATTTACGATTTAATAATTTATGTTACATTGCTGCGCATATGGACTATAGTTTACTAACGATATGTACTATATCTTGTCATAGAGTAGTATACTTTAAAAGTTGTGCTGCGTAAGGCGGACGTGAGATTACAAATTGTGCTGTGTAAAACTGGCTACGTAAATACTTGTACACGTGCTGCCATCCAGTGATGTATAACTTCATTTATTGGGTAACAAAACAACCTTAAGCCTCATTCAGATAGGTGGTAGTGCAGTGCTGTTGTGGTGCGGTGCCGTTGTATAAAAGTTTGAAATACGCATACCCATATGACAATTCACAATGACATGTGCAGTGCATACGACTTGCAGCCGCTTGCCGAAAGTATGTAAACTTCAAACTTTCTGCACACTACGGTTAGCAAGCACCGATAGGAACGCATCATGTTTGTCATGGCAATCTGTCACAGCTAATTACATAAGCTCTTCATAGTGTTTGCGCGGGTTGTGCATTTAATTTATTGTTTGATTGATGGATTTTGACGATTTGCTGCTGCTATTGTTGTTTGTTGTTCATAATTTTGTTAGGTTAAAGTAAGCCGCACGCGTGGCGATTGTGAATGCAGATGTCAACATGACAACACCGACCCACACCCGCACCGCACACCAAGACAACGGCACTACACTACCATCTATCTGAATGGGGCTTAGTGTTAGTCGTTTATCTGCATGTTTATTGTGACGTTACAGGCACAGGATAAGGTTAGTTTGTTTACATTTTATACGTACCTAAATATAAACGTTTGCGTTTCTTTGAACAATTCGTTATATCGTTTGCGCGTAAGACTTTGGGGGTACATTATAGCTGAATTTTTTGTCATTAAAATATCCATTCAAATTGTGTATAGATTTAAGATAAATTTTTAAATTATGATTCGAATCTTACAGGGAATTGTTTTTTATTTAAAGTGTACCCTATAACATTTGCATCATAAA